TCATCAATCAGGATCAGACACAAAATGCTGAATAAGGTAAAATTATACCCTTTCCAATGTTTATGACTTTGATGAGTTCTCCCTGCTCCTTTTTGGGGCCAGGCAAAACCAAATAACTGGTATTTTTCATGTGTTAGACAAACTGTAAAAAACATAAACAACGGAATTGGTTTAAACTTATTCTTTCCATTTTTTAAACTTAACATTAACTATTTCAGTCAAATAAAAATCAAGGCCTGTTTATGAAATGTTATTATTTAATTGTAACGAAAAGTTATTATTTGGTTTATATTTTTATTTTGTTTTCACTTTAATAAAATGTCATTTTTTTACTTTATTTTTATTATCAAAGTTATGTACAGTAAACATTTTTTTTGGACAAATTATATGTAGGAAACATAAAAGGTGAAATCATTGAAAATTTGTTTTACTGTTTCTTGTGCAATATTTAAAAGTAGAAAACAAAATAAAACAACATTGCATTATAAATCCAAATGTAAACAAGATATGATAGATGAAACCAAATATTTTTGGACAGGGTTTTTGATTAAATATGTTCATCTTAATCATGAAATTTGCTCAATTAATAAACTTTGAAATTTCCATGTTTGATATTTTTATTTATGATGAATATATTATGTTGTTTGATATGTTTAATCTAAGTATTTGACTCTACATTCTATGTAGTGGAAGGATTATTAGTTTGTTGATTTTCTTTGCTTTGGATTATGTAGTGGAAGTTTATTCAATTGAAAGAATAAACTTGCATTTTTTTAAATATTGATAATATTCTAATAAAGATGTTTTCATTACAAGTCAAATGCTTATTAAATTGACCTGATATTGTGACTGGCCAACTTGGCCCATTCTATAATTTATTTAATTTTTGCTACGCATTTTATTTTTTTAAATATGTTTTGAAGTGGTTGTTTATATACTATTAGGACTTTCTACTCGTATGATTTGACCTGAATCGGTCTTGGAGTTTTCCAACGTCAGCAGCATAGTTGTCAAATTCTTCAGGATGCACTTTTATGCTTGTTAAATTCTGACTTTCACTTTTATGAAATGGTGCTAACTTAGGTTTTAGTATTTCAGATGCTTGACCACCATATTTATTGAATTTGTAAATACTTTATGTTAATATCCTGTGTGGTGCTTACCATGGGAACCATAGATCCATGGAGAAGATCTTTGAAGACTGAATGATAATATAGAAAGTTTTAGATATTGGCATGTGTATATTTGATTCGGAATCCGGTTCATATATACACTTGGTAATACCCATTCGCGCACGGCTTCGTTATGGATATAGTTGTTATTATAATTAATTGTTAATAAAATATAGAATTAATAATATCTGTGATTAAGAAGAAAATATAATATAATATAAAATTTAATTTCAATAGTTGAAATAAACAAAATAAATGGTAGAATATATATTTTTAATCGAATGACTTTTAATATAATTGAGTGAAATAATTATAATTATGATCATCTGATTTTTTATTAACTTATCAAATTATTAGGATTAGCTTTGCAAATTTAATTTTGTTCACAAATTTATCATCTGTTTTTTTTTATAAATTAAATAATATTCAGTATTATTTCTTTTTTATATTTATCAAGGATAAATATTATATTGTACATAACAAATATTTTTATTAGTAAAATGAGTACATAACAAATATTTTGATTTTTATGTATCATTAAAAAATATTAATTTAAATGACATTTTTATAAAAAAACATAACAAATGTTTTTATTAACCGTTTATTTACATGTATCATTAGAAAAACATTTGTTTAATATTTTTTAAATTAATGACATTTTTATAATGGATTTAATTGTTATGCATAGTTAGTATAATAATTTTTTACATTGTCGGTTGATTTCAATTATTGATTTATTTAAATATTTTGACTTTTTTTTTAACTATTTAAAAAGTAATACTATTAGTAAATATTGACAGTGTAAAACTTATTATATTAGTTGAAATATTTTGACTGATTATGTTTCCTCCGCCAAACCACAAAGATCACAACTAGAAGGAAACAGAATCACATTTGTTCTTTTAATGTTACTAATCCACGAGCAAAATTTGGTATTAAAGTCGAACTTGTGCATGACTATCAATAAGAAATCCTAATTGAGAGTATCGGAAGCTTTTGTAATATCCACCTAAGAGCCAAGTTACCACACCAAGCCTTGGAATCCAGCAAATTAACAGCTTCAGAGGCTAAACCAATGCGATCATGAATACTTTTGCCCAGAATAAAACCACGCTGCTCTTTAGAAACCAAGAAAGGCATAAGGACAACAAGCTTCTCCGCGATGATCTTGGTTATCATCTTGAACTTAAAATTAGATATAGGAATGGGATGAAATTGTTCCAGCACATCAACACCCATAACTTTTGGAATTAGAACTATCGAATTGAAGTTAAACCCAGGAAAAATCCAACCATTAATAAAAAAAATCCAGAACAACATTTGAAACATCGACCTTCACGATGTCCCAATAAGATTCATAAAAAACTGCCTCAAAGCCATCCGGACCCGATGCACTATCTTTGTTGAGGGCGAAAATCACAGCAGAAATATTACAAAAAATGGAATTATTCGATTTCGAAGCTCACCCTTCAACATCTGAGGCTTCTTGCTTAAGACAAACATATGGCAACCAGTGATATTTTGATTCCAAATAGATTGAATCAGCTTCCTACAATCCTTCCGAAGAGACTAAATTTTCAGGAATTTAAATTGAGAAATGATGTTAAATTCAAACAACAACCGAAAATGATCAAAGCAGAGCTTAGAAATAGTAAAAACGGAAACCTGAGTACAAATATCAATCAAAAGTTGGTTCCCAATGCACCAGTCAAGACGTTTCTCAATGGAAAAGGGTGGTTTTTCTTGTTGGACCAGGTGAAACAAGCACAAGAAGCGAGGATATGAAAAATATTGTTGGCATTCGACTGGTTGTTTAAATCATTCATATCCGTTCTGAAAGGGCTGCTTCGATCACAATGTTCATGAGCACCTACAATCGCATTGAAATCCCTGACGAAAGACCAAGGAAGAGGATGCAAGAAGAGGAGGTTGCTAAGATCAATCCAAAGAAACATATTGATCAGAAGAAGAAATGACAGTAGGAGAGATGTTCGAAGTGCAAAAACACCACAAAGATGGATGCTCCTTGTTATTAAAAGCGAAAGGTTTGAACCCTAAAGTATAAACCAGTTGTTAGGAAATTTGGAGTAATCTATTTTAGGCTCCGCAATGAAAATAATATCAGGTTTGTGATTCTTGATGAGTCTCTTAAAGGCTAACCTAGAAGGATAATTAGCCACACCTCTAATATTCCAAAAGAGGCTCTTCATGAGATTGGTTGCTTGAAGCTTGCATGGGACCGAGTAGTATACTGCTGCTTTTGCCTAGCAGATTGCTTCTTTTTGAGTTAAGAAATAGTTGTATTGAAAGCACTAACATGTTGAATATTCTCCTCCTCTTTCTCTGCCAAATTATCACAATAATTATTGAGAAAAACAACATCCGCATTATCAATTTCACTTTTATTATTACTCCCTTTAAATTCACCTTTGTCTTCTTCCCATTTTTCTTTTTGTTTTTTGGATTGTCCCCCATCTCACTCTTCATTTTGTTCATGTTCAACTAGATTTGCCAACTCATTTTGATCTATATCATCATATCCATCAGAAGAATCATCAAAAGCTACCTCTAAAGCACTATCATACTTGTACAACTCATCCTCACTATCATCACTACTTAGACATTATTAACCTCACCACCTTCCATATCAACATTTTGAGCATCCTTACCAGCATTTTCAGCCTCCAACACAAACTTGCCTTCCTTCATACCAACTGTTAGGGTATCAACGCAATGCGGAAGCACGGGATCGAGATAATTGAGAATTAAAGAGAAGCAAGTAAAATAGTAAGAAAAAGAACACACAAGATTTACGTGGAAAACCTCTCAATGTGAGAAGTAAAAAACCACGGACGATCACGAGCAAAGTTCCATTATATAAAAGAAAAAAGTACAACAAGTCCTCTTATAATAATGAGGACAAAGAACAATATTTTACCTCAATATTTTCTTAAAACACTCTCTCAAATGGAACAAAAATTCTTCCCAAAATACACTCAAGTGTATTGTGTTTCTATTATTGTTGTGATGATCTCTTTCAAGACATATACGTGATGTATATATACATTCATTCTTCAAAGCAAGTAACATGTGGCAATGCAAATAAAGAGGAAGTGTGAAGCATGCAACAAGTGACATGTAATGCTTCGAGATGGTCTCTTAATCATAATGAAATATATGTCGTATATTGCTGGAGAAATCTTCACAATTAAAGACTTAATATTGGCCACAAATATATAACTTATAAAATGAAGGAAATGAATGAGAGCCATATAATCCAAAAATCTCCACCTTGGTTCGAATTCCACAAGTGCTCATCGCCAAATAAAACCCGAAGGGCAGTTAAATACTGTAGAGACCATCCAAGTCTAAACAACAGCAGCTTAGAGAAGTTGGACTGTATGAATAACAAATTCAGTGGTAATATCCCACACGATCTTTGCATTGGAAACAACTTGTTATTCCTCAACATGGGAATCAATCAACTTCAAGGTGGATCATTTTGATGTAGGGTTCAATCCTAACCACATTGATTTTAAGAGAAAATCACTTCACGGGAGGTATCCCACAGTTTTTAGCAGACTTTAGCAACCTTCGAGAGCAAGTGTTGGACGCTACAGAGAACCTAAAAGATGAGTATATTATTGGCAGAGGAGCACATGGTATTCTGTACAAAGCCACGATTGGTCAACAAGTTTGTGCTGTAAAGAAGTTTGAATTTGGACGGAACAAGCAAAAGCTGTTAAATATCATGCGCAACGAAATTGAAATCCTTGAGATCTTTAAACATCGAAACTTTATCAAATCTGCTGGCTACTGGATTGGAAAATGCTCTCGTCGCGTGTTGTTGGTACTCCTGGCTATATTGCACCAGGTAATTAATTCTTCATCCACAGTTACTGATGATTTTCAAAACCCTTTCGTTGCCAATAGTAATTTGAATTCTAGGATGTGATATTGACTTTATTTTTCAACCAAGCTCTAAAGTGGAGTTGTGCAAGATAGTGTTCTCTAACATGTTTGCTTTGGCATCTGTGGCAGAGAAAGCATTTGATATAGTGGCGGGAAGAAAGTCTGATGTATATAACTACGGAGTTGTTTTGCTTGAGCTAATAACTAGAAAGAAATTATTAGTTCCCTCTTTGTACGACGAGGCAATGGAGACTCACATTGTAACCTGGGCTAGATCTATAATGATGGAAACAGGCAAAATTGAGAACATTGTCGATCCATACCTTGTGAGTGCATTTCCCAGTTCAATAGCACTAGTGAAGCAAGTCAATGCAGTACTTTCATTAGCACTACAATGCACAGAGTCTAAGTCTGGTCCAATACTTACCAAACCTTTCAATTGGTTTTTCCTATCATGTTGAGGTCACTATTGACACTTGCAAAAATCCGTCTACTCACAGACCAAATCGTTACACCAATCAAACCAAGACCACCGTCCAAATTAGTGAATAGTCGCGCAAAAAAATTCCAAAGGTAGGTGACAAAAGGGAAGAGAGTACACCAGAAGTTTATGTGGATTGATGGTAGACTTTGTTAACCATTGGTCATGATCAAATTTGCCAACTAATCTGATCTTTAGTGCTGATATATCAGTTTTAGGTTCAATAAATTTGTTTGGGCCACTCAGGTCATGTTCCTGATGTCCAATTCTGAGTGAGTCTGGTTTGTTGAGTCTTGTATAAAATGAGATTAGGCTTGAAAATGTCTTTATAACAGGTGGACAATCGGTTCTTATTTTACAAGTCAGTTTTATAATTGTTGAATAAGGTTTAACTCTAATTATAAAAAGTCAGAAATCATAAGAAACATGACTATGAGGTGGATTTTTTAGCAAGTGAACAAATTGTTCATAGATATAGCATGATAAAAATGTTTCCTTAGAATATATAAATATTATATTATAAAGGTTATAAAAATGCTTTTATGATTGTGGATGTAAGTTTATGATTCTTAAATTTATACACCAATGAATAATTTATTTTTACAATTGTGCATAATAACTAACTCAACTACCGAATACCAATATTGTTAGACTGAACATCTTGTTTTGGATTTGGATTTGAACTTCAAGAGGTGTTCAAATTCAAATCAATTCAAATAAAAACTGCAAACCAATTCAAAAATACCAAAAAATTGCAACAAAAAAAAAAAGGAATATTATTGAATTGGGAAATGAACTTGCAAGGTATGAATCAACAAACATCTCAAATTTGCCAGTTTCCAGCCATACACATCTAGCCCAGTTCACTAAAATGGCCACCTTTGTCTTATCACTCAGAGAGGAAACAAACACTTTCTTTTTCACCAAGTATGGCATTGTACACAACACCATGTGCTCCTCTGCCAACACTATATTGTTCTTTTAGTTTCTCTCTAGCCACCAACACTAGGTCCTGAAGGGACTTTATTTGATTGACATTTCTAAAATATGATTTAGATTGATAATACAACGATTTCTGTTGGTGCATATATTGACTCCACTGTGAGAGGAAAAACCAATTGAAAAGTTCTGTAACTGTTGGCCCAATGATAGAGGGGAGGAAAATCAAACAAGGGTGGGAGTAAGTTATTTTTGGAACAATTAGAGCAACTACCACAACCGTTTGAGTCTCCGTCTCACAATTTCCCATTACTTTAATTATGAGTCCATCAATACTAACAACAGGTCTAAACATGAGTTTCCAATCATCCCAATCATAAACTCCCAGCGGAAATTGTTCTGAGTCTTGCCAAAACCGAAAATCACTAATATCTTGAGGTTCATGCTTTGCATTAAAGTCAACAATATCTTTCATCGTCGGTCTCTTTTGCAGATCCGTCTCAGTGCATTGCAATGCCAATATGAAAATTGGCGCGACTTGCTTGGTCAGTGTTGCTGAATTGGGAAATGAACTAGCAAGGTATGAATCAACAATCATCTCGATGTTGCCTATTTCCCGCCATACAGATCTAGCCCAGCTAACTAAAGTGGTCAACTTTGTCTCATCATTCAGAGAGGGAGCAATCTCTTTCTTCCCGGTTATTAGCTCAAGCAAAACAACTCCGTAGCTGTATACATCAGACTTCCTGCACTGTGCTACTTCATATGCATTCTCTGTCATAGGTGACAAGGCAAACAAGTTAAAGAATACTATCGTACACGACTCCACCTTCACGGTGTATTTGAAAAAATAGAAGATATCATAGTGTCCTTGCAAACACTAGTTACTTCCAGATATAGAAGGGTGTGCAAAGCAATAGTAAGTGCTGATGAAAAATTGATTACCTGGTGCAAGATAACCTCGGGGGCCAATAACATGCGATGAAAAATGACCATAAAAATCCTCAGACAGGTCACATAGAAGGGATGTACCAAAACCAGCTATAATAGGCTCCATATTATCATCAAGAAGTATGTTCTTCGGTTTGATGTCTCCGTGCACTATCGGTGGGATATAGTTATAATGCAGATGTGCTAGTCCTTTAGCAATTCCAACAGCGATCTTAAACCGGTCACTCCACAATAAGGGTGGTGAGGGTTTTTTCTCATGCAAAATATCATGAAGGCTTCCATTTTCCATGAATTTATATAAGACTAAACCATAATGACCTCCAATCCAGTAGTCCGTGTATTTGATTAAATTTCTGTGCTTAAATATCCCAAGGACTTCAATTTCGTTGCAGACGATACTTTGGTGCTTTTGCTTGTTCCTTCCAAATTCGAACTTCTTCAAAGCAAAAACTTGTTTACCAAGTATGACTTTGTACACAATACAATGTGCTCCTCTGCCAATAACATACTGATCATTTAGGTTCTCTGTAGCCTTCAATAGTAGGTCCTGAAGGGCATTGATTTTATTGGCATTTATGAAGTATGATTTGGGTTGATAATACAAGGATCTATGAAAGTGCATATACTGGCCCCAATGCAACAGGAAAAACCAATTGAAAGGTTTGGTAAGTATTGGACCAGCGACAGAGGGGATGAATATCAAGCTAGGCCAAACATAGGTTACTTTTGGAACACTCGGAGCAGCTACCACCAAAACCTTTTCAGTCATTATCTTACCATTTCCCATCAGTTCAACTAACAGCCCATCTATATAAATTGTAGATTTTAGACTCCAATTTTCTTCCACACAGAATCCTGGTTGAAATTGATCAGTGTCCGGCCAAAAGCCAAAGTCGTTAAAACCCATAGGTTCAGTCTCCGCATTAAATGGAACTTCTCTTTGTATTTTAGCTGCATCCCTACTGCTTTCTTCATGTAGATGGTGCTCAACTCTAACAACTGGAATGTTCGGGGGAATATTAGGACTACATGGCTGTAGTGATGTATCAGCTGCAACCGCATCACCGTATTCCTCCTCATCGCGCTGCTTAAACATGTCCTTTCTATACAAGCCAATAACATCTTTCATGATTGGTCTCTTTCGTAGATCCTTCTCTGTGCATTGCAATGCCAATAAAAACATGGTAGTGACTTGCTTGGTCAGTGCTGCTGAATCCAGAATTGAACACGCAAGGTATGAATCAGTAATATCCTCAATTTTGCCTGTTTCCAGCCAAACTTTTCTAGCCCAACTCACTAAAGGGGTCACTTTTCTCTCATCATTCAAAGAGGGAACTAACACTTTCTTTCTTGTTATTAGCTCAAGCAAAACAACGCCGTAGCTGTATACATCAGATTTTCTTCCCTGCACTACTTGATATGCGTTCTCTGACATGTGACAATGTAAACATGTTAGTGAATATTTTCATCTATCAGAGGGATGTGTATATAGATAAATAATAAGTATAGATGAAAAACTGAATACCTGGTGCAATATAGCCAGGGGTACCAATAACTTTCGTCGAAAGCATTTTCCTGGTTTCCGAATGACTATAAGAATCTTCAGACGACTTCCTGTAGAGGGCAGTACCAAAATCAGCTATAATTGGCTCCATATTCTCATCAATAAGAATATTTTTCGGTTTAATATCTCGGTGCACTATGGGTGGATCACAATTATTATGCAGATATCCTATTCCTTCAGCAATTCCAACAGCTATGTTAAACCTGACATTCCATGTTAACGGTGGCGGAGGATTCTTTTCATGCAAGATATCATGAAGGCTACCGTGTTCCATGAATTTATACAAGACTAAGCCATACTCCTCTCCAATCCAGTAGTCTGCGTATTTGATCAAGTTTCGATGCTTATACATTCCAAGCACTTCAATTTCTTTGCACATCATATGTAGCTGTTTTCTCCTGTTCCTTGTGAATTCAAATTGCTTTACAGCAAAAACCTGGTTACCAATTATCGCTTTGTACACGATACCATGTGCTCCTCTGCCGATAATATACTGATCACTAAGGTTCTCCGTAGCCTGTAACACTAGATTCTTAAGGGCCGATGACTGCTCTTTACCTGAGATGTTGAATTCGTGAACATATCCGACTCCAATCCTTCCAGCTCCTCTATCAATATAATACCATTGATTTAGATCAGACTCCATATTTGATTCCTTTCTAAGAAGACACCGTCGAATTATCATTACCAGTACAGCAGAAATCAACATTGAGGATCCAAGTGCTATCATCACAATTCTAACATTACTGATACCTTTGTGATCAGTTGATTTGTAGACACACGGATTCACATAACTAGAATTAATGCAACTCAAACAACTGACACAAAGGAGAGGATTACCCATGAATGATGACGGCGAGGATTTCAGCAACTTCATTACTATATTTAGCCCTGTTGGTACAGAACCATTGAAGAGATTGTAAGAAATATTGACTGCAGTTAATGAAACAAGACCTTCAAGAGCATCTATGCTTCCTGTTAAATTGTTGAAAGAGATGTCCAGATTTTGCAGCAGTTTTAGCTTCCCGATTTCTGCAGGAATCCCACCGGTCAATCCATTAGCACTCAGATTCAATCCGTAGAACAAATTGCTCAACGTTCCCATTGATCGAGGAATTTCGCCTCCAAAACAATTTCCACCAAGTTGTAGCTCTCGAAGATTGCTAAATTCTGCCAAAAACTGTGGGATACCTCCTGTGAAATGATTTTCTCTTAAAATCAATCTGGTTAAGCCTCTCCAACTTCTCAAACTTGACGGAATCGATCCATTTAGGAAATTGAGTCCAACATCAAAATGATCCATTTTAGTACAATTTGACAGCCGAAGTGGCAAAGAACCTTCTAAGTTATTGTGAGCAAGATTTAAAGTCACAAGATTCACAAGGTTTCCAAGATCTGATGGTATGAGCCCTCCAAACTTGTTCCATGACAAATTAATGTATGCGACATTTGTACAATTTCCCAAACTTGATGGAACTGATCCACTGATATTGTTCTTGCTCATGTCGATGTAATTCAGGTTCAGATTGCTTTCAAAATCAGGAAGAGACCCGGTGAAATTATTTTTATTGAGAAACAACCTCCTCAGAGTTTGAATTCTCCAAATACTTACCGGAATTTCGCCTCTCACACGATTGAAAGACAAATCAAGGTCCTGTAATTTACTGCAATTACCAATGGATGAAGGAATAGTCCCTGACAATTGATTACCATATAGATACAATCTCAATAGTTGAGTCAAGTTTCCAATATTGGTTGGGATACGGCCAGTAAGAAAGTTACTCCGAAAACTCACTTCTTCCAGGGAAGGAATTTCAAACAAGGAATCTGGAATTTCACCGGTCAGCAGATTGGAAGACAAACTCAAAAACCGTAAATTTTGCAACTGATTAAAACTATATGGTATATTTCCACTGAATCTGTTACCAGAAAGGTCTAAATGCTCAAGAAAACTACAGTTGCTTAACTCAGAAGGCACTTTTCCTGAGAAACCATTATCCAACAACAAAAGGATATGTAAGTGATAAAGGTTTCCAATTTGTGGTCCAAGTTGACCAAAAATCCCATGACTAGTGAGGTTAAGGGACACCACATGGTTGTTATGGTCGCATTGAACACCAAGCCATGAGCATGGATTGGAATCAGAAGCCCTCCAGGTAGAGTTGATGAGAGGAGATACAAAGGTCCAGCTTTCCAAGAGTGACAGGAGAGTGAAGCCATCAGAGGTAAGAGCAGAAGCAGCATGCAATAAGGAAATAATGAAGAACAAGAGATTAATAATTCTACTGATATAACTAGTACTAATCATTGTAAGCACTAACCTTACCAAGTTAGAGAGAAAGAAACCAAGTGGTGGTTGTTTTGGTCTTTGAGTTTACTAAGAAAGTTAGGAAGAATTTTCCATAATAGAAAGAATGATGTGATTGTCCTTGTTGTTGTGTTTAACAGTGCTGCTTTCACATTAAGTCTTCGTCAACCATGAGAGACCGGAAGGAGTAAGTCACATAAAATTTAGGATAGAAATGATTATGTACATCAAGATTAATTTATGGGTAAAAATGCTGAGTGAGATGATATGTAACATGTTGTAAACAATATATCGAGTTAGTTTTATTTTATTTTTAATTAATTTTATTTTGCTGTATAGTCATGATCGTTACATTTATTTAAATTCGTTGGATAAATTACTATTAGGGTTTTGTTATCAGGCTATCTATCATTTATATATGGGATTATTCATTACATCTTGTATGTTTCTTTCAAATCTTATTAATTTTCTAAATCACCCATTTCGCCTCGTCCAAATAATACAATTTGGACGCACCCCAATTCAACAATATTATTCTGGGCCGATCATATTGTCTTTGGCCGACCTCTATGAAAGAACCATACGCCTTCTAAATTATTTTTAATACACGAGAATTATTATCTTCGTAATTTAAAAAATTCTCAACTGCAAGTGCATCTAACGGCTCTCCGCAATTCACTAATAACAAAGAGCAAGAACCATACGCCTTCTAAATTATTTTTAATACACGAGAATTATTATCTTCGTAATTTAAAAAATTCTCAACTGCAAGTGCATCTAACGGCTCTCCGCAATTCACTAATAACAAAGAGCAAGTTTGATATATATATATATATATATATATATATATATATATATATATATATATATATATATATATATATATATATATATATATATATATATATATATATATATATATATATATATATATATATATATATATATATATATATATATATTAGTATTTGTTTTTTAATTTGATTTAATATTATGGTAATAATAATAAGATTTAAAAATCAATTGAAAATAAGAAATTTTGTTGGTCTACTTATAAAAAGGCGAGGAGAGAATATAGGGTGGGAAAATGTCCGTGAAAGAATTGGAAAATAGAAAGTTAGAGCAAGAGGTAAGGGTAGGAAGAAGAAGAAGATCACCATTGTAAAAGAGTTTTAAATTTCAAATTTTAAGGTAGGGGAGAAACTATTTTAATTGTTGTGGCTATAGCAATTGATATTTGTTGATGATGAATTTTGAATTGTTGCTAAATTTTAAGTTTGTTGTATGTTAAGGGTTTGGGATGATAATTACGATGATGGTAGGGGATGAAATTGTGAATATATTGATGTGATTATTTGAATACGAGTGGTGATTGATATTGGTATGTTTATGATTGAGTTTAAAACCATTGAATATTTTTGGTGATGATTTCATGAACGTTTTTATGTTGAAGAAGATGAAAATCGTGCTGAAAATTTCAGAAAAAACAACAACTTTTCAGTAACGCCTTCGTACACAGTTTTGATCTTAACTTTCAACTCGTAAATCATTTTGGGATGGGGTTTGAAGCGTTGGGTAGCTAAAACAGAGGAATATAACTTTGTGTTAGGGATAAAATATTTTTGGTTATGATTTTATGGACGTTTTTGGGGTTGAAGAAGATGAAAATCGGACTAGAAGTTTCAGAAAAACAACAACTTTTTAGTAACGTCTTCGTACACGGTTTTTATCATAACTTTCAACTCAAATCATTTCAGGATGAGGTTTGAAGCGTTGGTTAACTTAAAAAGAGTGATATAACTTTGTTTCAGGGATAAAATATTTGTAACCTTTTTATCAGAGGTCGGTAGGAGGTGGAAAAGAAGTGTATGAGGTGACAAACATGGACAATGTTTGCATTGACAAATTATTTGATGTGTTGTGAATGATTGGGAGGTGTGTTTGATTATATTGATGGTAGACCAGAAGAGTGGATTGTTAAGTATGGTTGAAATTGTGTGATCGATTGTGGATCACTAAATATTATTATAATTGTTATGTTAATTGCATTATTACCTTGCATTCATTGGTGATATGTTGAAGAAGATAAGTCATAGGTCCGAAGGCGGACGAAAGACTTATCTGGAATTCTGAAGGGGGAGTTCGGGATTCCGAAGGGGGAATCAGGTTCATATGATGAACCATTGATGAGAATTGCTACCATATGCATCGTGTAATGTTGTCGGGTCTCATTGCATTGTAATTATGTTGTACTTGTGCATTTGTTGTGGTGAGAATGTGATTGTGAATGAATGTGATTTCTATGTATAAATACTATTCTCTTATTTATTATACACAGTTTATTATATGAATGAATTTTTCACCCCTTTTGTGTTTGTTGTGTCTGTACTCCTTCAAAGTATAGACAATCAAGTACCTGAGTAGTTGGAGATGTATCTCATGTTGTTATTGGTCGAGTTTACTAGTGTAGTTGTTCTGATACGTAATACTGGAGAACGAGCTATTTTCTTTATGTTATTTTGTTACGTATCTTTTAATTTTAAGTAATTATTGAACCACTTTTAGTGTGGGTCATTTGTTGAGGCCATGAATGTCATACTTTTGTTTAATTCTGTTGTTTGGACTATAATATTTGATTAAATGAAGTAACATTCAGACTTCTTGGATTGTGGAGTGACATCCTACTTAGATAGAAATATATTTTATTTTATTAATTATTTAATCGAGAAGTAGGGTGTTATAGCTTTTAATGGAAAAGTATCTTCATCATATTGATGTGAATAATAATTTTCTTCATGGTGGTCAGACCGAGGAGATTTATATGACACCTCCTCAAGATCTGTTCTCTTCATTCAAAGGTGTTTGCAAGCTTAAACGCTTTTTATATGGTTTGAAACAAACACCACAACATGGTATGATAAATTTCGCTTCACTATACTAGGGTTCTCCTTTACTCATATTCAGTATGATTCCTCTATATTTATTCATAGCACATTTATGGAAATTGTCTTACTTCTTCTGTATGTTGATGATATGATTATTACTGGTTCTGATCGTGCTTCTATTCAAAATTTTAAACAACAATTACATGCTTCATTTCATATGAAAGATCTTGGTGAATTGCATTATTTTGTTGGTTTTGAGGTTCATTCTACATCTAAAGACATCTTTCTCCATCAACACAAATATGCTACATATTTGATTTTTATGGCTGGTCTCCAATCTGCTAATCTGGTCGATACTCTCCTGGAGGTTAATGTTAAATATCATTATGATGATGGTGATCTTTTACCTGATCCCTTAATGTATTGACAACTTGTGGGTGACCATAATTGCTTGATTATTACTTGTCTTGGCATATCTTTTGTTGTTCAGCAAATAAGTCAGTTCATGCATTCTCCTCGCCATCTTCACTTTGTTGTTCAACAAGTAGGTCAATTCAGTCATTCTCTTCAATTGAGTGCTTACAGTGATGCTGATTGGATAAGTTCTCCTGATACTCGCTGATATGTCAATGGTTGGTGCATGTTTCTTGATTCTTCATTGATCTCTTGAAAAAGTAAGAAGCAAGTAAAAGTTTCTAAATCTTCTTTTGAATTTGAGTATCGTGACATATATGCTGTTTGTTCAGAAATACTTTTCCTTCGAGGTGTTTGGTGCGAACTTGGATTTCCCCAAACAAAGTCAACTTCACTTTATGCTTGACAATATAAGTGTCATTTAAATTGTTGCAAATTCTATTATTCACGAATGTACCAAACATATAGAAGTTGATTCTCATTCAATCTATGATTTCTATGATGACCGACTGATATCACTTCTTCGTATCAATACTCAATTGCATGTCGCAAATATTCTTAATAAGGCTATTTCGCGCCTAAGACATCGGTTTCTTGTTATCAAATTGATGCTTTTTGATCGGCTTCATCAATTTGAGGGGATATTAATCAAGAAAAAATCTTTGTCTTCATTGTGAATAATTTACTTTAATAGATTAGAAGATAATAATTAGTCATTATGAATAGAGAAAGACATAGAGTCAATTTTTCTGTTAGATTTCAAGTGTAACTGTTGTTCTTCGGATCTGAAAATTAAAGTTTAGCACAAGGAAATTATCGGGACGAGTCGCGTACTAGGTCGCTTTCTTTAAGACGTTTCGCCGTACTGCCAAATTATGCAAAGCAGTCGAATTTACGACGACGCCTCCAGGATAAAACAGCCCGTTCAAACAACTTACGATTATCAGTTGCACACTGATGAATCGCTCTAGAAATACACCTGTCTAAGTATCTGGTGAAAATAACCAGTCAAGAAAAGAGAGTTTTTGAGATGAAGAGAAATGAGAAAGAGAAGAGGGAAATCAAAATTCGTGTGAATTTGTGAAATCCGATGTGCCCACTTCTGAATTTCTACCCTGTATTTATTTATAGGCAGCAAACTGCACCTGAGTGGGGAGAAATTCGTGGGGAGTGGAGAAAATGGTGGGAGACTGAGAAATTCGTGGAGGACTGACTGACCAATTATTTTCTTAATTAATTAATATTTATTATTAATTAATTTTGCACCGAATTATATTAATTAATTAATGATAATTAAATTATATAAATTCGGGTCCAAAAAATAATTCATCTAGACCGGACCGAGCCGGACGGACGGACGGCGGCGCGCGCGTCTTGTTGGTCATGGGTGTGTCCTCACTCCTTTCACGAAATTGGGTGCCCTTTAGGACCCAACCCAATAGACAAAGTTGGAATATATAAACACTACTAATATTTCCATTCCCTTCAACGTGGGACTAAAATGAATCTTTTTAAATTCACTTCTATATTAGTTCTCACTTGTGTTCATTTATTGCTCATTAATTGTCCACAAATGTTTCCAATTCCCACTATAATTAATTAAAGTTCCACCATTAATTAATTAAAGTTCCAACCGTAACTGATAATATGGAGACTGTTATAGCTGGTTTTGGTGCAGCCCTTCTATGCGATCTGTCTGAGGATTCTTATAGTCAATTTGAAATCAGGAAAATGTTTTCATAGCACGTTATTGGTCCCCGAGGTTATACAGCACCAGGTAATCAATTTTTCATCAGCACTTACTATTGCTTTGCACACCCCTTCTATATCTGGTAGGATACTATGATATCTTTTATTTATTTTTTCAAATACATCTTGAAAGTGGAGTCGTGTAGGATAGTATTCTTTAACTTGTTTGCATTGTCACTTGTGACAAAGAATGCATATGCATTAGCACAGAGCAGGAAGTCTGATGTATATAGTTACGGAATTGTTTTGCTCTGAGGTAATAACCAGAAAGAAAGAGATTGCTCCCTCTCTGAATGATGAGACAAAGTTGAACACTTTAGTGAGCTGGGCTAGATCTGTATGGCTGGAAACTGTCAACATCGAGATGATTGTTGATTCATACCTTGCAAGTTCATTTCCCAATTCAATAATATTCAAATTTTTGCGATTTTTTGGTTTTCTTAATCAGCTTGCAGTTTTTATTTGAATCGATTTTAACTTGAACACCCCTAAATCACACATAACTAGGAAGTTCTAGTTTCAAATCCAAGACTAGATGTACAGCATAACGATATCAGTGTATTTGGTATTTGAGTTAGTTCTTATGAACCATTATCGGTAATTATATTTTATTGTAAAAATAAATTTATTCATTGGCGTATGAAATTTTGTATCATAAACTTACATCCACAATCATAAAAGCATCTTTATAAATCAACTCCGTAACTATATACATTAGACCTCATAGTTGTAGTACTTGAAACCACCAAGATCCATCACAATATTGCACCTCATCACACCTCAACTTAAACAAGCTCTTATTATAAAATTCTATAACACCTTTCATGGTTGGCCTCTTTCGCGGATCCTTCTCTGTGCATTGTAATGCTAATGAAAGTACTGCATTGACTTGCTTCACTAGTGCTATTGAACTGGGAAATGCACTCACAAGGTACGGATCAACAACGTTTTCAATTTTGCCAGTTTCCATCATTATAGATCTAGCCCAGGTCACTATGTGAGTCTCCACCGACTCATCATACAAAGAGGGGACTAATAATTTCCTTCTAGTTATTAGCTCAAGCAAAACAACTCCGTAGCTATATACATCAGACTTTCTTCCCGCCACTATATCAAATGCTTTCTCTGCCACAGATGCCAAAGCAAACATGTTAGAGAACACTATCTTGCACAACTCCTTTAGAGCTTGGTAGGAAAATAAAGTCAATATCACATCCTAGAATTCAAATTACTATTGGCAATGAAAGGGTTTTGAAAATCATCAGTAACTGTGGATGAAAAGTTAATTACCTGGTGCAATATAGCCTGGAGTACCAACAACCCGCGATGAAAGCATTTTCCTAGTTTCAGAATGACTATAAGAATCCTCATACACCTTCATGCATAGGGCTGTGCCAAAATCAGCAATGATAGGCTCCATGTTTTCATCAACAAGTATGTTCTTTGGTTTGATGTCCCGGTGCAATATTGGTGGGACACAATCATAGTGCAGATAAGTTAGTCCTTGAGCAATTCCAACAGCTATATTAAACCGAACATTCCACGATAAGGGTGGTGGGGGTTCCTTTTCATGCAAAACATCATAAAGGCTTCCGTTTTCTATGAACTTATAGAAGATTAAACCATAGTCATCTCCAATCCAGTAGCCAGCGGATTTGATCAGGTTTCGATGTCTAAAGATCTCAAGGAGTTCAATTTCGTTGCGCATGATATTTAACCGCTTTTTCTTGTTCACTCCAAATTCAAACTTCTTTACAGCACAAAATTGTTCACCAATCATAGCTTTGTACACAATACCATGTGCTCCTCTGCCAATAATATACTGATCACTTAGATTCTCCGTAGCCTGCAACACTAGATTCTTAAGGGAGAATGACTTACCTGAGCTATTGAATTCATGAACATATCCAAGTCCAATCCTTCCAGCTCCTCCATCAATATAATACTGTTGTTTTAGATCATACTCCATACCTGATTCCTTTCTAAGAAGACACCTTTGAATTATTATTACCAGTACAGAAGAAATCAATATTGAGGATCCAATTGCTATCATCACAATTTGAACATTACTAATATTGATACCTTTATGATAAGTAGATTTCTGTGATTTATCGACACATGAATTTAGACTTAGGAGAGAATTACCCATGAATGATGATGGTGAGGATTTCAATAACTTCATTAGGCTTGGTGGTACACAACCTTTGAAGAAATTGTAAGAAATATTGACCTCAATCAATGAACCAAGAGCTTCAAGAGCACCTAAGCTTCCAGTTAAGTTATTCAAAGATATATCCAAACTTTGCAGCTGCCTTAGCTTCATAATTTCTGAAGGAATGCCACCTGTCAATCCATTAGCACTCATATTTAATCCATAGAACAAATTGCGCAATCTCCCCATCGATCGAGGGATCTTTCCACCAAACAAATTTCCACCAAGTTGTAACTCGCGAATGTTTATAAGTTCTGCCAAAAACTGTGGGATACCTCCTGTGAAGTGATTTTCTCTTAAAATCAATGTGGTTAGGACTGTCCAATTTCTCAAACTTGACGGGAGAGATCCATTTAGGAAATTGAACCCTACATCAAAATGATCCATTTTAGTACAATTTGACAGCTGAGAAGGCAACGGACCTTCCAAGTTGTTGTGAGAAAGATCGAAAACCACAAGATTCACCAGTCTACCAAGATCTGATGGTATGAGCCCTCCAAACTTGTTCCATGACAAATTAATGTATGTGACATTTACGCAATTTCCCAAACTTGATGGAACCAGTCCACTGATATTGTTCTTGCTAATGTCCATGTAATTCAGGTTCAGATTACTTTCAAAATCAGGAATAGACCCGGTGAAATTATTTTCATTGAGAAACAACCTCCTCAGAGTTTCACATCTTCCTACATCAGAAGGTATGCCACCTTGAAGTTGATTGATTCCCATGTTGAGGAGTAACAAATTGTTTCCAAAGCAAAGATTGGGTGGGATATTACCACTGAATTTGTTATTCATACAGTCCAACTTCACTAAGCTGCTGTTGATTCCCAAGCTTTGAGGTATGACTCCTGAGAACTCATTATCAAACAAAGAGATGTTTTTTAGATACTTGAGATTTGTCATCTCGGCAGGTAGTTCCCCGGAGAGACTATTATTGTGAACCAAGATGTGCACAAGACTTTGAATTCTCCATATACTTACCGGAATTTCGCCTCTCAAACTATTGAAAGACAATTCAAGGTCCTGTAGTTTACTGCAATTACCAATGGATGAAGGAATAGTCCCTGAGAACATATTACCATATAGATACAATCTGAATAGTTGAGTCAAGTTTCCAATTTTTGTTGGGATAGGGCCACTAAGAAGGTTACTGTGCAGATTCACTTCTTCTAGAGATTGAATTTCAAATAAAGAATCTGGAATATCACCAGTCAGCAGATTGGAAGATAATCTCAAAAACCGCAAATTTTGCAACTTATTCAAACTATATGGTATATTTCCAATGAATCTGTTCCCAGAAAGGTCTAGATTCTCGAGCAAACTACAGTTGCTTAACTCAGAAGGCACTTTTCCTGAGAAACCATTATCCAACAACAGAAGGGTATGCAAATGATAAAGGTTTCCAATTTGTGGTCCAAGTTGACCAAAAATACCATGAGCAGCGAGGTTAAGGGAAACCACATGGTTGTTTTGGTCGCATTGAACACCAATCCATGAACATGGATTGGAATCAGAAGCCCTCCAGGTAGAGTTGATGGGAGGAGGTACAAAGGTCCAGCTTCTCAAGAGTGACAAGAGAGTGAAGCCATCAGAGGTAAGAGCAGAAGCAGCATGCAAGAAAGAAATAATGAAGAACAAGAGCTTGATAATTCTATTGCTATAACTAGTTCTAGTCATTGAGAGTGAGAAAAGGTTGGTTGTAAACACTAACCTTGTCAAGTTAAAGAGAAAGAAACCAAGTGGGATTGTTTTGTTGATTGAGATTTCCATAAAATAAAGAAAGCAAGTGGTGGTTGTTTTGGTCTTTGAGTATACATTAAAGAAAGAACTATGTGATTGTCCTTGTTGCCGTGTTTAAGACTGCTGCTTTCACATTATGTCTTCGACAACCATGAGAGACCAGAGGGAATAAGTCAATACTATTATATTACAATAGCATAAATGGAACTTACTAAATTATTTATATGTATCTCACATAAATTTTAGTATAGAAATGATATTATAGTTTTAAATTCAGGTTGCAGATGCGAATGCGGTTGTCGCCATTGCGATTGTGATTATTACGGTTGTTGTGACCTTTGCAAGGAGAATTTATATTTTTTCAAGATAAAATCATGGGGGGAAATGCTAAGTGAGATGATATGTATCAACCTTTTATTTTGTTGTTGTAAATAATAGTTAGGTTTGACAGAATTAGAGTTTGAGTTTTTTCCAATACACTCCCTCATTCCTAGCACTATTAGGCTTGATTTGTGGATATAAGTTGTGGGTGGTCTGAATCATCGATATATGGGACTTCGCTTTTTTAATACACCTATTGCACCCAATACTGTTGGGTTTGGTGCACATATAAACAGTGGGTGGCCTGAATTGATAGACTCGTTATACCATGATAGAATTTGGTCTAACTCATCGTTACGAAATTGACTTGTAAGTTGAGGGGTGACACTCTATATAAACCCTTTGGGGGCTCTATCTTTAACCAATATGGTCTCGGAACAAAATTGATTTGTACCATATCTCTATAATTTTGATAATAACAAAATATTTAAAGAACAATATTGAATACTAACAAATGTTCAAGTGTGCAAGATCAGAGACTAAACTTTTTGAAAAGAACCTAGTACTGGTACTAAGAATGAACATTTAAAGAGAATCTAAATATCCAGATTCTGAAAGATCAGAAGCTGAAGATCATACTCTGAAGTCTCAGACTCTGAATGAAGTCTACCTCTAAAAATCTATACTTTGAAGAGTCGGTCTCAAAAGATCTAAACTTTGGAGATTCAACATCTAAAGACTCAGACAAATGCAAGAATCGAGGAGATTCTTATAGGTCACTATCAGACTCTGAGGACTTTTTATCTTCTTCTGATCATGTGAAGACTTACGAAATATTTTTCAGAAGATAGATGAGATGCATCACATAATTCCTTTTGTAGTAAAGAGATCTCAAATGTGCTTTCAATGGTATTAACCATATCAAGAAATATCTCAACATCTCCGGATCAAGCTTCTCAAAGACTCTCTAGTGCAAACTCTTCAACGAATCTTTTCTTTATCTCTATATAAGGAGCTGAAGACTTGAAGAAAGATAATGAGCTATTGACATTCAAAAGAGTTTTACTCTGTCAAATAAAAAACATAAGTTTAACTTAAAATTTCATAACACTTGTACATTCTAGAAATTCTAAAATCTTATAGAGTCTTTTGTGTTTTATTTTGTCTACATCTCTGATTGTATATCAAGTGTAGTTTTTTAAAATTACTTAACTGTAAGTTATAGGTTAAGAAGTCTTTTGCTAAGTGCTTGAGCATTGGAAGTATGTTACTTGTATACTTGAGTATTTGAAGTCTCTTACTTGTTTGCTGGAGCATTAGAAGTTTCTTACCTGTGTATTTGAGCATTAAAAGTCTCTTGTTTGTGTGTTTGAGCAAAATGTAATTAATTGTGATTATAGTGAAAATTTCTTGAAAGTGCAAGGGGAATGGACTACCCTTGATTTGTGGGAGAAACCAGAATAACTACTTTTGTATCTCTTTCTTTCCTTTCTATCTCTGAACTCTTTTAATCTGCTACTAAACACTTAATTCTGAGGTAGATTCTAGACTGTGTGTTAAGAATTTGACAAGAGATTTTTCAGGAAAGAAAGAAAAGCTAACACAATTCAACCTCTCATTCTTGTGTTTTTTTCACCTTCATGTGCGGCTTGAGTTTTTTTAAATACACACACTTCCGTCCTGCACTATTGGGCTTAGTGTGAGGATATGAACGTTGGGTGGTCCAAATTATCAATATGTGCGGCTTGGTTTTTCCAATAAATTTTATTTTATCTGTAGTTAATTGTACTTTATCTTTATTTTATTTTATTTTGTTGTATAGACATATGTTCGTTAGATTTATCTAAATTTGTTAGATCATTATCTATTAGACTTTTATTATCGGGCTATCCACCATTTATATTTAGGGATTGTTCATTACATCGTCTATGTTTTCCCCAAATTATCAATTTAAAAAATCTCTCATTTTACCTTTTCCAGATAATACAATATCACACTGTAAAATTAACAAGTACGACTGCTAGCCATTTTGAGGAATTTAAATACAATGTAATGATAGAAAGGTGAGTACTACTCAACCACAAACAGAGAGAGAGAGAGAGAGAAAAGGAATAAGTTTCCAGAAATATTTCACATACCATCCCTAATTATTCTTGCCCTTCTTATGAATATTTTCTGTTTGGCATTCTCTCTCTTGCGCCTCTCCTCAATCGCTCTAAATTCGGATCACTTGCCACCTATCCTTAATAGTTATTTGCATCCAAGTTTGTCATTTTGTCTTTTGCGTCCTCATGATTAATTTCAATCATTACATAGTCCTTTGGGTCTTCCAATTCAACCATCTACTTTGATATTATGTTTTGCCTTTCTAATTCAGTACAAAATTCTTCATGTTCTAAATTTCTAGATTTGTGACCATTATAGGGTACTCCAAATAACCCTAGCTTGTATTTTTCTTCTCGTGGTTGATTACTATGGATCCTTCTGCAACATTTTGTCAACAACATACATGAATCAAAATTTTGTTAGGTAATATGATCAAATACACAAAATTGCAACCTTTCGTTTTTTCACTATGCATAATGTTTCAACATAAATGATGAAAATATAGGTTTAACATGCTTATGACTATGGTGTCATAAATTCTACATATTTCTAACAACATACAGTCAACTAACAGTCAAACTAGAGGGATTTTGTCTATCTATTCCTATTCTTAGCAACCTATAGTTCATGGCATATAATCATGTCAACTTATGAGCTTAAACCCTAATGCTCATCATGTTGTATGAGTTCAGATAAAGAGGCATGTATTGTTTTTTAACATAAAATTAACAACAATGAAGCAATCATGTTATTCCTATTTCGTTTTTAAACTAGGAAAATACTAAATTTTTGCAACATGGTTCATGCTGTTAGACATAGAAAATCAATGTTGAGACTTGGAGTTAGATTGATATGCCTGATTTTCGCTGAAACTGAAGCGAAAAAAGTAGTTTTGATGATGTTGTTTTGAAATTAAGTAATGATAGAACATCTCTTAGATTTTCATAGGATTTTTTACTCGTGGGTGTAGTGAAGAGAGAATGTAAAAATGATTTAAAAGAGTGACTTATATTTTGGCTTTGTTTCCCAAGGTTCTATAATAGGCCTCTCGTTTAGCGGGCTTTTATCCGCTAAGCAAAATAGTGTGCCGCTGGATTATGTTGTTGCACAAAACTTGCTAAGCGGGACTTGGCCCATGCCAAAGTGATTTTAGTGAGGAACTCTTGTCTTTTGAAACATAGAGAGTTTACAATACTGTTAGTTGTGAATAATTCTAAAGAAAATATATCCTAACATTAAAAAGTTTTAAAAATGGGTTGGGTTGCCTCCCAACATACTCGTAGGGGTTGTTGTGCCCATTAAACATCGCCAAAGAGGGAGGTTTGAAACCTTTAGAGACATAGGATCCCTGCATTTTTTTAGAGTGGCTGGGATCTAGTAGTTACATCTCTTACGGGGGATTTACCTCCTGTTGGCACTGACTGATGTTATGAATATCATCTTGCAACGTCCGATTATGGTGTTGTAGTTCGCCCATGGTAGTTTGCATCTCCGCCATGGCATCGACATCACATGTACCACTGGCATCTTCAAGCTTAGGGCATGAAGCTTTCCTGTTGACCATGGCCGAAAATGGATAGATGTAGGAATTGAAGATATGGCGGGAAAGGTGACATAGATTAAAAATAGAGTGTGACCCAATTTAGTTTTACCGAGACCCCACGGTAGGCGTCACTATTGATAACTCACCTTTTGTGAGTTATTATTGGCCTTAGTTATTTCACTTTCTTAGTTTATTTACCTTTTTATTAGATTGTTTTTAGATCATTTTAAATGTTTTATAACAACTAGCTTGGAGTACAATAAGTGTTCCATTTTGTTGGTTTAATATTTTTGTAACTTGAATTAAGGTTGTATCTAATGAGTTAAGGCAAGACTATGTTAGACAATACCTGGGAGTGCCATCTCAAGCAAGAAGATTAACTTTACCAAAGAGTTAAATGGAGGAAACAACTAAGTCCTAGGGAAAGCTCGAAAGGAGTGAAGTACTAGAGGGAAAATGTGCTTCTAATGAAGAAACTTCATTTCAAATTGTAGATAAGATCAAAGAGGTGCTAAAAGAGAAAATTAGTACAATTGTACAACCACCACTTTGTATACTCTTATATAAAAGACAACGTCGTTTGCACCCTGTTGTGGCAGTCTGCCACAAGACGCTTTGTCTCCCACAAGTGTTCCTTTGTACCTGATTCCTTGGAGGCTAAGCAGAAAGAAGTTAAGGACAATGGTGAATTAATTATTGGTCTTGATGTGATTTCCTTAATGCTAGCCCATGATCCAAGACACCTCAAGAAATCCCAGTGGAAGGTTATAAATAAACCTTGTTGAGGATTAGAAAGGGAGTTCACCGTTCCAATAATACTAGACAGAGCATAACATTGTGAGGTTAGTGAAGAGAAAAAAAAGTTCTTCTTCTCACCATATCCTATACCAGTTGTTGAGCCTTGGCGCGACTGGAGTCATCTTTGACTGAGTATCCCTTTCAAGGAGTCTTCAAGTTACTCTTAGGT